TACAGTACATGGCCCCGTCCATCGTCCCTTTGATGCGGTGAAGTTGTCCTGTCCCCTAAGCAGAAAAACACCCCCAAAGCATAATGTTTCCACCTCCATGTTTGACGGTGGGGATGGTGTTCTTGGGGTCATAGGCAGCATTCCTCCTCCTCTAAACACGGCGAGTTGAGTTGATTCCAAAGAGCTCCATTTTGGTCTCATCTGACCACAAGACATTCACCCAGTTGTCCTCTGAATCATTCAGATGTTCATTGGCAAACTTCAGACGGGCATGTATATGTGCTTTCTTGAGCAGGGGGACCTTGCGGGCGCTGCAGGATTTCAGTCCTTCACGGCGTAGTGTGTTACCAACTGTTTTCTTGGTGACTATGGTCCCAGCTGCCTTGAGATCATTGACAAGATCCTCCCGTGTAGTTCTGGGCTGATTCCTCACCGTTCTCATGATCATTGCAACTCCACGAGGTGAGATCTTGCATGGAGCCCCAGGCCAAGGGAGATTGACAGTTCTTTTGTGTTTCTTCCATTTGTGAATAATCGCACCAACTGTTGTCACCTTCTCACCAAGCTGCTTGGCGATGGTCTTGTAGCCCATTCCCGCCTTGTGTAGGTCTACAATCTTGTCCCTGACATCCTTGGAGAGCTCTTTGGTCTTGGCCATGGTGGAGAGTTTGGAATCTGATTGATTGATTGCGTCTGTGAACAGGTGTCTTTTATACAGGTAACAACCTGAGATTAGGAGCACTCCCTTTAAAAGTGTGCTCCTAATCTCAGCCAGAAATCTTTCTGATTGAGAGGGGGTCAAATACTTATTTCCCTCATTAAAATGCAAATCAATTTATAACATTTTTGACATGCGTTTTTCTGGATTTTGTTGTTGTAATTCTGTCTCTCACTGTTCAAATAAACCTACCATTAAAATTATAGACTGATCATTTCTTTGTCAGTGGGCAAACGTACAAAATCAGCAGGGGATCAAATACTGTTTCCCTCACTGTATATTAATCAGCTACGTTGGAAAAAGTGTCAGTAAAGGGGTCCATACAATTCCTAGAACGAGTGAAAAAACTCAGAGAGAGCCCAGAGGGGGCCATAGAGTGAGAGGTAACCTTTATGTTCCTATTGGCCGGGTAGCGTGCATTCCCGTGCTCATGAGACTTATTTCAGTAGTAGTAGGTTTTTACCCTTTTAAACTGGTACAAAACTGACACCTTTATTCAAGGCATCATGTTTGTAATAACCACAACACAAGTAGTCAAAAAAGCAAACAAAAAGAAGCAACTCTGATAATGATAATAATATGCACTGTCCTTGAAGTTGATTGGTCCACACCCGAGACGGCTTTCTTTAGAGCCTAGTCCCCATTGGTGTTGTACAAGATGACATCAGAAGGCATACAACTCAAACACAGTGCAATATCAGAGTCTTGAGAGCTCGGGGTAAGCATTTACACTATGAGATCTCTTATACCAGTGGCAAAATATAGTAGTAGGTTTTTACCCTTTTAAACTGGTACAAAACTGACACCTTTATTCAAGGCATCATGTTTGCAATAACCACAACACAAGTAGTCAAAAAAGCAAACAAAAAGAAGCAACTCTGATAATGATAATAATATGCACTGTCCTTGAAGTTGATTGGTCCACACCCGAGACGGCTTTCTTTAGAGCCTAGTCCCCATTGGTGTTGGACCAGATGACACCAGAAGGCGTACAACTCAAACACAGTGTAATATCAGTCTTGAGAGCTCGGGGTAAGCATTTATCATTATCAGAGTTGCTTCTTTTTGTTTGCTTTTTTGACTACTTGTGTTGTGGTTATTGCAAACATGATGCCTTGAATAAAGGTGTCAGTTTTGTACCAGTTTAAAAGGGTAAAAACCTACTACTATATTTTGCCACTGGTAAAAGAGATCTCATAGTGAGACTTATTTCGTTTGAAGTAGTGCATTGCACGATAATGGCTGAATCGGCTGAATCGCCGAATAACCACTCGGAGCTAAAGTGGTAAAGCAGTGCAGATTCTGAAAGAAAATGTTAAGTTTTGCGGTTGTTGAATAATATCGAGCCGAGACATACGGAAAGTGCTATTAAAGAGACTCAAACGGAGTACTATAATCTATAATAAAAGTGTTTTTGCTTGCTTGGATTGCGTAAATGTGTCCTTAAACCCGCCACCGTCCGACAGCCAATTAGTGAGATGTGTCACGTAAACAAACCGTGCCAATTATTGACGACTCCAACACACCGGTGTATTGGTGGCGAAAGGCTACGTGTTAAACCGAGAGACGTTCACATTGTACTGAACTGTGTGCTACAATGTCGCGTGCCGTGGATGACAAGAGCGAAACAAAAAGTAACTGTAAAACAGCAAGCTCGTGAATAATGATCACAGTGAAGATACGGCTGTACAGTCGGATGTTGAAGAAAGGTCATCATCTAAACGTCGTCAAGGTTTTACCACACCTGGCAAGTCACCAGTTGCATCCTCTGCTCGAGGCAGTGCGACGACTGCACATTAACCAGCACAGAGGAGGTGGATGCCGTGTCACCTTCTCAACGCGAGCGTGAGACCATCTGCAACAGACTAAGGCCGACTGACGGCCTTTGTTGCATTGTTTGCCTTATTATAAGCATCACATTGCACACGCCTTAACTTAGGCAATTTTATTATAGCCTTTTGTGATAATTTGTATTCTATGGACCGAGTGTCAGTTGTATATTCAATATCTGGTACTCCGGTCTTTAATGAGATGTGTTCGTACTGTATTTGAAAAATAGAAAACTGGCTGTGTGGTTAAGTGTGTCAAATCCATCCGTTACATGCGAGATATCTAAGAATGTTAATAAGGTTGGCTTCTGTCATTGTGTATAACGAATCAATCATATCCTAGGGCCTAGACAAATCAAATATTAATATAAATAACAGATACCTTCCAGAACGAATAGAGTCCCCCCTCAATATGAGTGGAGGCATCAACAGTGAACAGTAACGAATGGTTCTCAGCGATATAAGTTTCATTTCAGTTTAATTTATGAGGTATAACCCTGTGAGCCATGCGACTCTTGACTTGGGTGCAACCGCAACAAACAAAAACATTAACAAGAAACATCTAAGTGATTACGCGCAACAGAAAAATCCAGGAAAAAACAGCAAAGTCTTCCAGAAAAAACAACGTATATCAACGCTTTGTGCAAAAATCCCAGTAGGATGCAAGTCAAACAATAACAACCATAAGACAATTTATATTAAAGCTATCAGGCTAACTCTTAAATACAACAAACATGGCTAAACCAACACGTTTTAAAAATCACCAAAATAAAGCTATAAAAACAAAGTAACAGTGATCATCGGAACTGTGATTCAAATGTAACAATAAACGATATATACATAACATGTACCACCTAACTTTGCAGCCATAGCTGGCTGCATGAGTCACTCCATAACAGCAGGAGTATCAGTAGCAGTATCAACAATGTTCAATGCACCCTTAAAGATCAGCACACGATAATCAAAACTCTTAATAATATTTTGCAGCGGTCATCCGGAACGATACATTTGACTTCAGGCCACTCTGAATAGCAGTGGCAGCTCGGGGTGTACAGCTCCTCTGACACGGAGGCGGCGACTGACCGGCGGTGAGTGACTGGGCTGAACAACAACAACACTGCCACAAGGCCGTGTGGGCTGATGGGTTGCGTCAACATGTATTGTATCCTCATCTGATGCAAACAGATAAGGGAAGGGCGACGGGGAGTGCGTCGTCCGCTTAGCACAAGGGTGGCAAGTCCTTTAATGACTTCCCGCTACATTCTCCAGCGCACCGCTGACGGGCAACTGCGGTCGCGTGAAGAGGAAACGCCGTGGAACTGGCCGCTTATGCGCTCTACGAAATGCAACGGATGGTGGGAACCGAGCCAGGGCGGTCGCGACGAACGCGCGGCCGCGTTTCCTAGAGGAGGGGGGCGGGTGGAGGAGGAATTGTCCCGCTCGACGTTGTGGCCGCGTATCACGACCGCAGAGCCGCGCCGCTCACCCTCGTCTCCCTCGAGCAGCGCGTCCTCGCTCGCGTCCTCCTCGCTCGCGATGGAACTCGGCTCCCCGTTGGGCCCGGCCATTGCGGCTCGTGACAGTGACGGGAACCGGAACCGGCAAGAGGAGCAAACGGGAACCGGAACCGGCAACGAGGTTCAATGGGATCCAGCAATAGGAGGCGATTGCAGTCTTTCCATTCAAACTCGCTATTTGCAATGAAATTGGTTTATTTTTCGATTTAAAGCTTTCGTGACTGCAGGGATTCATCTTCTTGGTTCTTTCGGTAAAGTCACGCAGAAGGGAAGTAATAAAATAATAAAAATAAAACATAATAAAAATAAAACATAATAAAAATAAATTGTATTATGTTTTATTTTAACACATAATAAAAATAAATTTTACGTTTTATTTTTATTATTTTATTACCGAAAGAACCAAGAAAATTGGTTTATGTGCGCGTGTTGGGCTTTTTGTCAGTCCAATGCTAGATGAGGGCCTCGCCACAATTTTCCTGAAATGGGGATTATTTGCCCATGCTTCACCTGCGCTGGTCAGTGGATGAGACGATAGATCAGAGTCTTGTTAGTCTGAGCGAGTCCTCACCATGAGTGACCAATCAAAGAGTGAAGTTCACGGGAACGGTAACCACGGCAGTAGCGGTAGACGAGTGGCAGGGAGGCGACTGACTGGAGTGAATCAGCGAGTGTTGTTTCATCACTCACACTGACTGAGAGATATACAACACAACTAAAACCTGTGTGCCAGATGTGTCCTACAGCAAACAAGGGGCGACTCGCAGGCGATGATGCGTCTCGCTGGTCATTTTGTAAAGATGTGACGGACTCAGTGCGTTTGAAATTTCAAGCACAATAATATTTTAAAGAAAATAAAGGCAAATGTCGGGTCCAGTATATTTATTTAAGCACACAAAGCACGAAACAAATCACAACATCAGGCAGTACAATATAAAAACATACTGTATTACCAAAAAGTAAAAAAACCCGAGTAATAATTTAATTAAATAAAGTTTGTAATCCCCAGTCTATAAAGTTATTATTAAATATAACATTACATATATTTAACATCTGTGCACCCACATTCCAGTGATAAAGATATATCAAGCGACGCATGGTCATCTTAATGTTTATCAAATGCATATATGTATGCCAGTGCAATACAGTGCATAGTGTAGTTAAATAACTTATATATAAATAAAGGTAATAAATATCACAATTATCTGTAAATATATATTGGTCTCGCAAAATAAGAAATCCTGCATTAATCCCTGATGATAGAGGTTCCTTTAATACCAAGGTATTAAAATTAAATAAAAAATTCCAAAATGTGTAATATGTGCATGAGACCATGAGTCATCCTAAAGTTCCAAGGTTGCTGCAAACACGTGGATCAACTGGTCGTGCACAGTTATCATGAAATAGTTTTCAACTTCACATAAAAAAATAAGGCATCATGCATTGCCACGTTCTCAGAAGCCACCCTTAAATAGAATAAATTGTATCTAATCGCTGAATTTGTGAGAATTGCTCATCAACTTGCCAGTGGGCTAAATAATAATTGGTGCATCACTAATTGGTTGTATGACACTCATTTGTTGGGCTCTGCCAGGTGGTGGAGAGGGTCTAAACGACACAGATTTGGCCAGATCATTACATGACCTAACCCAAAAATTACCTTATGATCTGTAACATTCGCTGCAAAAATCTATTACTTGTTAAGAATACAATGTACTTGTCAAGGAAGTAGCCACGTAACTGAAAGAGCTGAGCTGGCACGATTGAGTTTCAGGCTACCACCTGTGATTAAAGATGGTTCTCAATTGTAGCGAGTTGATAGTCTCAGCCAAGCCACAAATGACTGCACACACCACTCACTCTTTGAGAGTACTCTTTGATCACACGAATACCAGTCATCCTTGCAGTGGCGGCTTTTGGCTCGCCATCGAACAAAGAAGGTCACTGCATTGCGCACTTTCAGATGCGCTTCTGCGGCAGTCGGGAATTCTCTTCTGATATTAGGAAGCCGCGTGAGCTATGCACTTGTAAATATAGGTTTAAAATCATTTATATTCTTTCGGTCTTTCGGTAAAGTCACGTAGAACAAAAAAAACTACGACGTTTCGATCGCAACACAAGCAATCGTCATCAGGAGTAAAAAAAAGGAGAACGAATTTCTTTACAATTGCCTTTTGTGTTTAGTTTGTTGACCCAGGGTGTACGGTTAAGTCAAATCGGTTCCACATAAAGAACCAAAGGGTAAAAATAATTTGTTTCCCTGAATGTAAAAAGGGCTACAGTGTGAATGGGTTTTTTTGTAATTGGTAATGTCCTGCATACATTAATGAGCGATCAGCTGCTAAAATCAAAGCGATTAGCTTATGTAAACTGGCTCATCTGTGAAAACACCATCAAACCACTTAGTACATGTAATCTCTACCAAGCCTGGCTCCAGCTGTGGGGCTGGAAGATGGCAATAGAGCTGTGTTGTGTGAGGGACCACTATAACCGTGATATACACTGCCAAGGAGGGTGAACTTGGGTGGAGGCCAAAGTGATATTGTGTGCTGCAGGGCAGTAATACTACAGCCCTCTTGATTGTTGTATGTTTGTTGAGCTTTTTTCGTAAAGTGCATAGCCGAACGCGCTAATCAGAGTTGTGGGAAATCTGTAATCTCTGTAATCTACCTGGGAACTTCCAAATTAGGGGTGCAACTCTGACTGGTGCCTCTAATATTAGCAAGCACAACAATAGTTGTCTTTCAAGTAGTTCTGAGAACAGAGCTAGTGTGCATGCATCGCATGATTGCGGTAAAGGTAAGCGATGGTTTTCTTTCATTGATTTGGGATAACGGTAAGGTGCGAGTTAATGCCTCGCCCGCCAAAGGTATTTCTAAGTTTGGTAGCAGGGTGGCACAGTGGTTAACACTTGTGCCTCACAGCAAGAAAGGCATGGGTGTGTATGTTCTCACTGTTCTGTATGGGTTTCCTCTGGGTTCTCCAGTTTTTTTCCCATGTATATAAACAACTGGTATTGTCAAAAAAATCAATATATTGCAAAATTACCTGCAAATTATTCATTTGGGATTACACACGGCAACATAGCCTCCTCACCGAGTATTGAGACTCGGAGTCTTGAGACTCGGTGAGGCTTTCCTGGGTAAACAAGCATCATCACAACAACAATAATACATTACTTGGCCCTCAGGAATTAAAAGATCCCCTATCAGGACACATACAAAAGTGTTTTTGTAGTTTTTTAAAAGCTCCTGGGACAAATAATCACTGGAAAATATATCAGAATAGATGCAGATCCATGATACCATTGTGCTTCAATGTTATTGGTGTCAGGGGCTATTCTCAAGATCGCAATTCAAGATTGGACTTTTACTCGCTGTTGCAAGGCACCCGAGGAAATAGTTTTTCACCTCGGAATGGGAGAACTTGTTTATAGAATTCCTTGTAGATGGCTGAAATGCACAAAGGGCAGTGTAGGAAATGGGGCGTGGGGGGCGGGGAAGACAAATTTATTATTAATGCTTACGATTGCCCAAGCTGTAAACAACAACAACAAAAACTTTCAACCAATTCAAATTATGAAAACATTGTATGGTTTGTTTAGTGACTGAAGGGCTTGTGTACCGTACAAATGCTCTACGTAGCATAGTGATTTAAGATCCCTTTGTCAATCCAATGCTGGATGAAGATCTCTCCATGCTGTGTAGGTCATGGGGGATATTTGACCATACTTCACCAAGTTGGTTCAGTGCAGGTACAACAATGAATGTTGCTGAACTGCCCTCTGCTTTATAGCACTCAGCCTCGCAGTCTGCAGCATCAAAGAACCTTCCGTGTATGTTTAGCATCCCAGCACTGTCCAGACTACACTCCTGCTCAGCTTCCGTGATCTGATGTAATCGGATGCATTCCTGGGTGATTTTATCATAGGCACCATGAAGTATAAATCCACAAAAATCGCCACAATATGCAATCCACTTGTATCATTTAACCAGCCAGGACACACGTACTATACAAAGCAGTGTTAATGTCGTCAGCAGTTTTTAATTTTGTTTTCGTCTTTTTCAGGGGTCGGCAACTAAATCAACAAGAGGAGCCATTTTTTTGAATTTGGTAAAAATAACTCAATATTTCAAGAGCAGCAATGCATGTGGATATGAGATGGTGGTTCCTTAATAAATAACGTCTGGAAGTGGTCCTTAAAGAGCCACATGCGGCTCCGGAGCTGCAGGTTGCTGACCCTTGGTCTAGTTTATGACAACTTGTAAGATTTAGTCTTTGCCTAGTCTGTCGATTTCATTTAGTAATTTTCTTAGTCCTCGCCTAGTGAACGAAAACAGCCCGTTCTACTCTGAAGCACAATATTCACCTCAACCCTCATCCCCTGAAAAATTACAGGTCAGCCAATCAGTTAACTCAAGTCAATACTTTAATATGTTGTGGTTCACACGAGAGAGGCAAAGACTTCTTTGGAGGCAACACATTTACCATTTGGCTGTCTTTTCTCCTTGTCTGGTTCCTCGTGCTTCTGAGTTGATTCCTCTCTTGGACAGCGAACAAAGACTGTGCGGCACATTACAAGTTGACATTATTATGATTTATAGCCAGTTAACATTGTTGGTTTTCCTACGGAAGTCTGGTCTGTAATAACGTTCCTGAAATATATGAATATCAGTCTTCATTCCTCTCATGGTAGTCGGTCACACTTTGGTCTCTGGTTGGCACCGGTCGCAGCCATCGGTGACACAGATAAATAAATAGCCACTATGCGCCAACGAATATTTTTGTCAATGAAGCTTGGCACAATATTCGTCACTGAACTAGGAAACAAGCAAAACAACTGCAAATGTGCCGATGAAAAATCAAAGTAGTACGTTCGGAGTGAGCCTAAGTGATAGGTGAAGCAATGTAGACACGAGGGAAAAAACAGATGTCACTGATGCTGTTGTTAAAGCAAACGGAATACAAATTGGCAGTATGCGTCATGACAACAACCGACAAGAGATTATTGCGGTTGACTACGTACAGTGCGAAAGAAGTTCAATATACATTCGTCATGCAAAATGTAATGGACTGTGCACAAGCAAAGCAGATAATTCAGGGGTCTCACCGTTCTCTTGATGCGTTCAGCAAATTGTAGAAATGTGGTGAATACATTCGCAAAGCAATAGGTCTTTTTTCTAAATAATCTGCTGGCATTGTAAGAGTTAAGGAAGTGCATGAACTCTCCTTCGTTCATCTAAATAACAAAGGCACACGAACAAAAAACATTGATGTTAAAATTATAGCGACGTGACAAATAGCCCATTGATTACTTTGTTTGCGCTCATTAAAAAGGCATCTACGATTCAATAACGGTAACTTGTAATATTAATCACGCTAACAATGTCATAAACTAATAGATATAATGTCATATATTAATGTAGGAAATCCTCTGATTAGCATGGTTGGCTACGTACTGTGCGAATGAAGTTCCACATACATACAGTGAATCTCTTGACACATTTTTCAGGAGGTTCCTCCATTGGGCTGTTTGGACAATGTATATGGAGCATTTTGTCGGTGGGAGTAAATTGTAACACCTGGAGATAGCCCATTCAAAAGTGGGGTAACACTGAAAGGACCCACTTTGCTATATAGCTCTCACTTGGCCACCTCACAGCCCTTCAGGTTTCAGAGTTTGACAGGTATTTTCGTGATCCACCTACCATGAATCACAGGCATGCACCATCACACCCAGAGTAGGGGCCATACAATTGATGTACATCCATTGTATATATAAAATATAGATGGGCAGTATATTGTGCAAGTTTGTCTGATAAAAAACCGTGATCAACTATATTTTGAAAAAGTTAGGTAAAAAATAACTACTTTATACGAATTAAATAAACACATTTACACACGTACTTATTCTATTATTTTCCTTTTGGGTCTCATCAGTGTAAAATATTGCTCAACTAAAGTGATGTAATTGATGGAATGGTCAGTGCTCAATATTACTCAACTAAAGTGACATTAGAGGGGAAAACAATCACTGTAATATAAAAATAAGGACAAAGACCATATCACCTAGGCTACGTCTTATCATATCAGACCTCGGAAGCTTAGCAGGGTTGACCCTAGATTCCTCTCCGATGGGTGACCACTATGTGCACAAAACAGGTGCAGTAGGTATTGTGAGCAGTAGAGGGCAGTGCAAAAAATCCATCGCTCTTCTGTAGTGCTCACACCTTCACCAACCCGCATTGACCATCGTGGTGAAGTATGGTCAATGACCCTCATTGCTTACAAGGCATTGGGGAGGATATCTGGCTGTACATGTACAAACATATATTGGGGCAATGCTAAAACGTGGACCAACTCCGAAAATGTAAAGATACCATTGTCTGGTAACGCAAATTAAACCATAACGAAAATACAGATGCAGGTTCTTACTGTAGTGCCGCATTCCAAATCGTTTTTTTCTCGGTATAGCTTGACGGATTCATTTGCCACTTTGCACTGAAAACAAAAATGCCCACGCACACACGTAATATTTTCAACATCATCAACATTCATGATCGATCCACTGCTGGATGAAGGCCTCCCCAAACCACCACCGTCCCTCAATTTCCTCCAGAACATGACCTGATTTTCATCCTTTCTCTGGCTGCCAATCTATCGTCAGTCTGGAATACTGGCGCACACCAAATACAGTCTGTTCTCATATAATACGTGTTTTCATAAAGCGATGAATGTATTAGGGAACACATTTTTATAATGCGGATGCGTATTGGATATAACGCGATTGAGGGAACAAAACTACGTCGCACGAGCAGGAAGCAGCGGTTGTGCGGCTGCCTCGGCGTAGGATCACACAAGGCGGATCGCACAAAGCGGATCGCACAAGGATCACACAAGGCGGATCGCACAAGGGGCGGAATGCTGCTGGATTCTTCGAGATGCTACCCACGCGCCTCAATCTTTGTTTAGCATGCGTACGCATCTAACGTGTTATCACGGACTGTGCTTTACCCTATATTATATATTATTTATAATAACGACATTTTTCCATAACGCGATGTTCTTCAGGAACGTAACTACCGCGTTGTAGGAGAACATACTGTATGCAAGTGTAAATTTAAGCCGTAATCGGTTGTGCTTTTTGTCTGAAGTTAAACACAAACTGACAAGCCAGCCAATTAACCGAGCCTCAATTCTGGTAGTAATGCATGCTTTCACGCGCACACACGAATTGTACTGGTATAGGATACAGGCGTGCAGCCGCTGTGTTGGTGTCTTGGGGTCCAGACACCCCCAAAATGCTTAGACATGGTTAAACATGTTGTTTGAGACGTTTAGACATGGCTCAGGGACACCTACGACATTTCGACAAAATCATGGCATTTTTACCCAGACCCAACAATTACCCAAGCTCTGCATTCCTCTTTATGTTTCGATGTCTTCATCAAATTAATGGGTGTTTATACACGTGGGAGCAAACCGGAACACCTGGAGAAAATCCAAGCATGTGAGGGGACACCAAGCTATCCCAAACAAAATGTTATAAATCTGCACTATTCTGTACTGTACCGCCTTCTCTCGGCAAGCCAGTATATTCGAATAAGAATCTTTATTTATACTGGAGGAATCCGATGAGCTATAAAGCTCGTTTTCACAGATATCCAGTATGTGGCACTGTGACATATGGCACCTCGGCACGCATGGGAAGGGGGTTTTCCAACATTTGTGTGATCCACCAACCCCCGCCGCCACCATCGTGCTGGATTACAAGCCATGTGCGTAGCCACCACTGCCTAACGATATAACATCAATGCCGATCGTGCTGAGGATGGAACCTTTATCTTGCACAGCAGTTGCATGAGCAGGAGTAGGCTCAGCACTGAATCAATGGCGGGCGTAGAATGTACGTAATCATGCCGTACAACTCGTCTTATCCTGATGAAGCTGGAGGGAGGTGGGGGCAAGCTTTGTGGATCCTGATTGGAATTGACCCAATAACCACCGTGACCATTTGCTCATGAGCCACTTGTGATGCCACCGCAACGGAGCAGCTCTGCTGGGGCTGCTGCCCTCTTGCAAACCCCGCACACGAGCGCACACTCCCCCCCCCACTGAACACCCACTTGCACCACGTAGGACCTCGTGGGGGAATCACCTGGCCCCTGGGTTTTCACCCGAGAGTCTCCTCGTGGTGGGGGGGGGGGGGGGGCTCCACGGTTTCCCGGGGCCAGGGAATTGGCAGATTTCCCCCAGGTTAAATTGCACTGCGGCACCGTGGACTGACCTAACATCGTATGGCCACGGCGAAACCCGTCGGGCAACCAGTCAGAATACAGCAAGAATAGAGTAAGAATACACACAAGGGAAGGGAGCCGAACTTCCAGCGAGGAGCGGATTTTGAACCCGGTTGTGGGGGCATGGTTAATAACATCTTTCCAATGATTATCATTGGAAAGTGATTATCATTGGAAAGATGTTATTAACCATGCAAAAAAGATTTAACTACACATATTTGGAGCATTCCTGGCAGCGATTTCAGCCGCACCACCTCTACATAAAAATAGGCTCAGTCAACCATTCTACACAACAAAGACTAATTTCCTGGCAGCGATTTAAGCCGCATCATCTCTACATAACAAAAAGGCTCAGTCCCTTTTACATGCACCTTTACATCATCCGCACCGAGTTTACACAACAAAGGCTCTTTCCTAACAGCGTGCTTCAGCCGCACCGAACCTCACAAAAATAATATTCAGGGCCTACCTTGGCTCCTCCCACCCTCAACCAGTATATATAAAAACACGGTTTTCTTGGAATTTCTCTCACTTGATACAGCTATCGTGCTGTGACTGTTCCGCCTGAAGACGGAAGCTTGTGTTGCCTCAGAAACGTCGTGATTTTTACTTTTATTTTACTTTATTAATAAAAAAATTTTACCTACGTGACTTTACCGAAAAAACCAAAGAATATAACGGTGAAGATTTACGAGTGAGTTGTGTGGATTAAGATTTGGTCTGTGCTCGGGTACCATGGTGGCGAGATGTTAACTGCCTCGCCTGGTATACAGGAGGTTGTCGGTTTTATTTAGAATTTGAATGTTCTCCCGTGGTGAAGTAGATTTTTCTCCGGGTCCTCCGGTTTTTCCCTCCACATTTAGAAACCTGCATTTAAAGTATTTAGCTGTTATACATTTTCAATGATAAGCCACTTAGTTGAGCTATCAATTGTGGCAGGTTGATTCTGAAAAAGAGCTATTTAGCGCAGTGGGTGTTACCTGGTAAAATAAAAAAAGTTTCATTTCGAATTAGAATCCAAAGATGTACAGGATCGACGGCCAGTGACTCGATTTCTTACCCCACATTTTTTAGGACAGTGGTGACTTCCTTATTTTCAATACGCTTCTAAGATAGTGCATACAGTACCGGATGCTGTAAAGCCACACGGCCATTGTAAACATGTCAAATGAAACCATGAACGAGCAACGTGAACTGGAATAGGGTCAAACCCGCGCCATTTGTATTTCTCAAACTCGCGAACGTTCTTACGGCAAGGGTTGGATCACCTGGACAGAAACAGGCCGGCGCGGTGGTAGTAACGTTCGTTCCTCGTAGCAAGCAGGTCCTGTGTTCAATACACAAATCGGGTGCCTGTTTTGTGTGGAGTTTATACGTTCTCCCCGTCTTTTGCATGGGTTTCCTCCAATTATCTGGTTTGCTCCAATAGCAAAACAAAAACCTGCAGTGTTACTGGTATTGGCCAACTATTAAACTATATATATAAAGCATTTTATGAGGCCCACTGAGCTATATAGCTATTTTTCAGAAACGACCTGGCCACACATTATAACAGTTTAACGCAGTGGCTTATCGTGTGCAAATGTATCGCAGCCAAATGCTTTAAATGCATGTTTCTAAATGCTGGAGGGAAAACCCGAAGGAGCTGGAGAAAAATCCACGCGATCACAGGGAGAGAGACATACGAACTCCAATGATAGAGCAGGCGTCAGGGTTGTGATCCAATCCACGACTTCCTGTATACTAGGCAAGGTAGGTAACATCTAAAAAACACTTGCAAATTACTCAATTGGGATAACAATAACATCCGCTCCTACTGAGAATACTGACTGAAAAAGTATTGAGACTCAGTGGGGCTTTACTGGCTAAATAAGCGAATTAATATAAAAAATAAGTCAAATTCTCTTACAGTCGTAAATCCAAAATTAAGCCTATTTCTTCGTGCCAGTGTTGTCGCATATGTATATCTGAGACAAAGTGTACGTTGCCTTAAGTCTGGAACAAGAAATATATTATGCATGGACTGAAGTGCCTAAAGAACACCAGTTATACAAGGGGACATGGTATACAAATTATACTCATAGGTCAGACAATGCGTTCAGGTATATACTCGCTTTAATTCCATCTATAAACACCTTGCACATTAACGTATTCATTATCAATCATAACACCCCCCACGAAGTGGTAGGTTAGAGATGCAAACTCGTCGGGGTTGTTGTCCACCACACTCGCCACTGGTGTGGCTGGGAATCGAACTCACGTGACAATTCGGCTCGGTGTGTTCCTTTCCAGTAAGCACATATAAACGCCAGCAGTATGCATGCCGGACCATCTTTGTCTCCCCAAGACTGATATTCATACACCCGGGGTATCAATGCCGTATATTGGACAGCGCTACCCACTGCGACACCGCTCCCACACGCATCCAACAAAGAGAAAGATGCCCCATATAACCAGAGCAGAACGTTAAGACAAGTGCTGTCAGCAAGCATCTATCTAGGCCGGCGCGGCGAACGAGGGTGAGGAGAGAAAGGAAGGGTTATGTGGCCAGCATCACGCTCGACCGCCTTTCTCTCCCCAGTACTGATATTTACACAAGGCACCAGGGTACTCATTTAATTTTAAGTCGAGTGGGGGGTTTAGTTATCACTGGCTACTGATGTTGGCCGTGAGCGTGAATGAAACTCAGGTCACCGTGTTCGTTAGCGCATTACGCTAACCACTGCGACACCGCTCCCCACACAACAACAATAAATGCAAAGGTCGCCCAATACCCTTAGTAGACTGATGGGGAAAGTGCTGTTAGTCAGCACCTATTAAGGCCGGCACGGCACACGAGGGCAGGGGCGAGAAGAGCAACACCACGCTCGGCCACCTTTGTCTCTCCAGTGGTCATGTTTAACACACACTTCAAGTATTTATTTAAGGGTGAGTCGACCGAGGGAAGCCTCAAACCCGGCTCAATTATTCGTCACCGATGTTGGGCGGGAGCGGGATTCGAACTCGGCTCGCCGGGTTCAGAGCTCAGTGCGCTAACCACTGTGCCACCGCTCGCCATTGTCACGGCAGCGACACATCTACTGCAGTACACACTACCGTATTTAGGTACGCTGCATTGGCAGTGGTGCGCAGGAATAATAACATAAACAAACTTAACACATTTGTCAATGACACCGTGTGGTCCGAATTGAAAATATATATGATAGGCGACCTTTGAGGCAATGACCCTTAACCATGACACATACATAGAGAGTGAGGCCATAGAGTAAGATAATATAGACTGCACATTTTGCACCACGGGGCCTGATTGACTAAGTGACGAGAATTTACAAAATGTGTTTTTTCTGATTACTACGTTCTGATGTGAGCGTACATACGCACAAATGTGAGCGTTAGAAATCGACTTACCTTCTTGGCGGACGCCTGCAGCTCCGATACTTCCCTGCAGTGGACATTCCTGTCGCCCGGCATGGACATCGCCCGCAGCGAGAGGAGGATGATGCATGCGAGCGACTGGTGACCCACACCTACGTTGAACGAGACGCGCGTTGTGAGTTTCCGCTCGCAGGAGCCATCCGCGCCACTATATAAAGCGGGTCAAAGCAGAAGCTAAAGGGCACCCAAATAGCTTAAGGGGAGAGGGGTGGGTTCTTGTAAAAAAAACAAGTTGGCGCCTTAAAACATGATGCCAAAAATACGAATAGGATTTTACCCTTTCTGGAAATGGCACAGGAGGTGATAAGATGTTTAAATACCAAATAGACACCTTTTGGAAGACATCAGATCTGCATTAACCACATACGTGTGGCAATACATGAAAACAAGCATGCTCTGATGAAACAACATGCATTGTCTTTGAAACTGATTGGCCTGCACTCGAGTCAGCCTTTTCTCACCAATGTTAAACCAAAAAGGGGAATTCATCTTCTTGTTTTTTCATCATTTTGTTACTGGCAAAATAGATATAGGCGCAATAAAAAAATATAATGTCACGTCACGACCGAATGGCAACACGGTTCTACCCGACATCACAAGAGAGAGCCGTAGTCAGTTCACTGCTGGATGAACGCCTCCTCTCCAATCCGTCGCCGCCGCCACCGATCACGATCCTGCGATGTCATAATTAATCCACCCAGCACCGGGACCACTCTACATAAATCGTCATTGAACCTCTCGAATATGTCTCTTATCTTCAACTTTCTCCTCGTCTCACCACACCTTCAATATTGTTTATACTGTATCATAGCCCGTGTCTCTTCTCTCATCTCAGGAATTATTTGACCGACTCCCCCCCACCCCTCCTTTGCTGTCAGTTCTGAGCAACATTGCCTCCACCCACACAATCAGACAGGTCGGTGGTGGTGGGGGTGGTGGGGGGTGGGGGGAGGCTGCTCTTGGCACGCGACGGGAGAAGATCCGTGCTCATTCAGGTCTGCCGCTGCCCGTCTGTCATCGCAGCACCCACCACCATGGGAGCAGGAAACGCGCCACGCCAGGACGTTGTCAGCCGAGTCGGCAAACTACGTGAATGGATGGCCCTGCTCAACAGTTCCAAACTGGCCGAAGCGTGTGAGGGAGCCGGGGAGGCCAAGGGGGCCGACGGGACCGGGGGGGCCGACGGGACCGGGGGGGGGGGGGGGGGGCGACGGCGCGAGCAGAGGGAGCCGACACTCACTCACTCACACACCATACACTGACTCACTCACACACCATACACTGACTCACTCACACACCATACACTGACTCGCTCACACACCATACACTGACTCACTCACACACCATACACTGACTCACTCACACACCATACACTGACTCACTCACACACCATACACTGACTCGCTCACACACCATACACTGACTCGCTCACACACCATACACTGACTCGCTCACACACCATACACTGACTCGCTCACACATCATACACTGACTCACTCACACACCATACACTGACTCGCTCACACATCATAAACTGACTCGCTCACACATCATACACTGACTCACTCACACATCTTACACTGACTCATTCACACACCATACACTGACTCACTCACACACCATACACTGACTCACTCACACACCATACACTGACTCGCTCACACACCATACACTGACTCGCTCACACACCATACACTGACTCGCTCACACACCATACACTGACTCGCTCACACATCATACACTGACTCACTCACACACCATACACTGACTCGCTCACACATCATAAACTGACTCGCTCACACATCATACACTGACTCACTCACACATCTTACACTGACTCATTCACACACCATACACTGACTCACTCATACACCATACACTGACTCACTCACACACCATACACTGACTCGCTCACACACCATACACTGACTCGCTCACACATCATACACTGACTCGCTCACACACCATACACTGACTCGCTCACACACCATACACTGACTCACTCACACACCATACACTGACTTGCTCACACACCATACACTGACTCGCTCACACATACACTGACTCACTCACACACCATACACTGACTCGCTCACACATCATACACTGACTCGCTCACACACCATACACTGACTCGCTCACACACCATACACTGACTCACTCACACACCATACATTGACTCGCTCACACATCATACACTGACTCACTCACACACCATACACTGACTCACTCACACATCATACACTAACTCGCTCACACATCATAAACTGACTCGCTCACACATCATACACTGACTCACTCACACATCTTACACTGACTCATTCACACACCATACACTGACTCACTCACACACCATACACTGACTCACTCACACACCATACACTGACTCACTCACACACCATACACTGACTCGCTCACACACCATACACTGAATCGCTCACACACCATACACTGACTCGCTCACACATCATACACTGACTCACTCACACACCATACACTGACTCGCTCACACACCATAGACTGACTCGCTCACACATCATACACTGACTCACTCACACACCATACACTGACTCGCTCACACACCATACACTGACTCGCTCACACACCATACACTGCCTCGCTCACACACCATACACTGACTCGCTCACACACCATACACTGACTCGCTCACACACCATACACTGACTCGCTCACACATCATACACTGACTCACTCACATATCTTACACTGACTCACTCACACACCATACACTGACTCGCTCACACACCATACACTGACTCGCTCACACATCTTACACTGACTCGCTCACACACCATACACTGACTCACTCACACACCATACACTGACTCACTCACACATCATACACTGACTCGCTCACACATCTTACACTGACTCACTCACACACCATACACTGACTCCTTCACACACCATACACTGACTCGCTCACACACCATACACTGACTCACTCACACACCATACACTGCCTCACTCACACACCATACACTGACTCACTCACACACCATACACTGACTCGCTCACACACCATACACTGACTCGCTCACACACCATACACTGACTCGCTCACACATCATACACTGACTCACTCACACACCATACACTGACTCGCTCACACACCATAGACTGACTCGCTCACACATCATACACTGACTCACTCACACACCATACACTGACTCACTCACACACCATACACTGACTCACTCACACATCTTACACTGACTCGCTCACACACCATACACAGACTCGCTCACACACTATACACTGACTCGCTCACACATCATACACTGACTCACTCACATATCTTACACTGACTCACTCACACACCATACACTGTCTCGCTCACACACCATACACTGACTCGCTCACACATCTTACACTGACTCGCTCACACACCATACACTGACTCACTCACACACCATACACTGACTCACTCACACATCATACACTGACTCGCTCACACACCATACACTGACTCGCTCACACACCATACACTGACTCGCTCACACATCATACACTGACTCACTCACATATCTTACACTGACTCACTCACACACCATACACTGACTCGCTCACACACCATACACTGACTCGCTCACACATCTTACACTGACTCGCTCACACACCATACACTGACTCACTCACACACCATACACTGACTCACTCACACATCATACACTGACTCGCTCAAACATCTTACACTGACTCACTCACACACCATACACTGACTCCTTCACACACCATACACTGACTCACTCACACACCATACACTGACTCGCTCACACACCATACACTGACTCACTCACACATCTTACACTGACTCGCTCACACATCATACACTGACTCGCTCACATCATACACTGACTCACTCACACACCATACACTGACTCGCTCACACATCATACACTCACTCACTCACACATCATACACTGACTCGCTCACACATCATACACTGACTCACTCACACATCTTACACCGACTCACTCACACACCATACACTGATTAGCTCACACACCATACACTGACTCGCTCACACACCATACACTGACTCACTCACACACCATACACTGACTCACTCACACATCTTACACTGACTCGCTCACACATCTTACACTGACTCACTCACACACCATACACTGACTCACTCACACACCATACACTGACTCGCTCACACACCATACACTGACTCACTCACACACCATACACTGACTCACTCACACATCTTACACTGACTCGCTCACACATATTACACTGACTCACTCACACACCATACACTGACTCGCTCACACATCATACACTAACTCACTCACACATCATACACTGGGAGTGTCGTGCTACCAGCTATAGCTGCAGGTTTTGTCGTACGTGTTATGTATATCGTTTATTGTTAAATTTCAAATCACAGTTCCTATGATTACTGTTGTTACATTGTTTTATAGCTTTATTTTGGTGATTCGAAAACATATGGTTAATCTAAATTGTCGTATGGTTGTTGTTGTTGTTGGCTTGCACCACATTGTGATTTTTGCACACAGCGTTTTAATACGTTTTTTGTGGAATATTTGCTGGTTTATTCCAGGATGTTTTTGTTGCGCGTCGTCGCTTTGGGACGTTCTGTGTTCATATTTTGTTTGTTGCGGTTGCACCCGACTTCAGAGCCGCATGGCTCACAGGGCTACATCTAATAAATGAAACTTGATACTTGAAGCGTCTCCTCGTGCAGCAGAACTCTACCTGGTAACCCCAGACTATAGCTGTGGTTTAACAAGGCAGACGATGATGATGACCGTGATGATGCACACAAGTGCATTCCCAAAGACTACGTCCGCTAACAAAGCCGTGCTCAGAAAAAAAATTAAGCTGGTGTCTGGCTTGGTGCAAACGGCAAGCAATAGGTACTGCATATATTTTGTTCAACTTTCTCTTATCTCACTAGATATGTATTGGCTAGCACCACTGGCTAAAATGCTAAACACTCGCGGCTGTACACACACACAGAATCTCACAATATGTGTGCGTAGGTGCACGCGGCTGTGCTCCGTGGTTGTGCTCCGATGCATTTGCCTGGTTTGTCTCTTCAGAAACTG